TTCCCAACTGGAGTTTGCCGTAATTGCCAGTTCCGAGTTCGCGATGCCGCCAGAGAAAATTTTTGGATCTTGATAGCGCATAAGTAAGGAGCTGCGATAGAATCTTTATGTCGCGCCCTAAAAACGCGCCATATTGCTTGTTTTATACGACAAAAAGAACATTTTATCGCGAGATTCTCTGCTCGATATGCGACATCTTCTGCGAGCGTGTCGGGAATGAAAAAACGCTAAGAGAAAAAATACCCCCTCGTATACCCCTCGTATGTAGTTACTTGAATCCATCCAGAAATTTATTACTAAACTATACCTTTCTACTGTGGCTATCTATATGTAAAGTATGAAAGTTTGGAATATTTTACGATGGCTAATTTTATTTCTTAAACTTCGAATATGTAGAATTCCATAAAAAGAAATCGATATCGTGTCCACGACATAGGTTACAGTAACTAAACGCTTCATAAAAATAGGCGATGAATTTTTTACTCTTTTACTTAGAGTTATTTAGCCACAAAGCTTTCTTCCTGCTTACCAAATAATCCTATATCAATTACGTTTCATATTATCGTCTCGTATATCATCTACGTTCTATATAATAAATGAAAATAATTGTAAACGATACGCATTTGTGACCGTAATTGCTCAACTTTATATTATTCCAAGTGTGTAACAAATGTTTCTGCGACACTTTATCAGACACGGTTTTGTACACGCATTCCATCGATTGTAAACCAGTAATCCATCATTTGAAATTCATTTGCGTCAGAAGTAATGTTTTCATCGGAAATGAATTTTCTTCGCGTTAAACTTTCACTCTCTTATTTACGTTATACGCGTATCACGTCACTTATATCACTATGGGTGCATATATTTTGCATTGATGATATATACTCGATAATTCAGGTCTTTTTTACTCAGCAACTCACACCACTTACACTCTTCCAAAATACGTACATAAAAGATACTGCACGTTCGATAAAATGGTGACATATACGGTCGATATAAATCCAAACGATGCGACATAAATATCTCAGCGACACTCGAAGACCTTCGGGTTGTCTTTCGTGAAAGTAGACACGATGCAGTTATTTACCACGACCATACGTCTCAATCTCCATCTAATCTCGCGGAACACCCTCGATCGATCGATACCATACCTGCTTCTTGCATTACTCTTCTATCTTCAACCTTCTACACTTTTTATTTTCATTCTGTCTCCTTTATTTCCCTCCTTAACTCTCCTTCTTTCTAATTTGAAATGAAAATACATGCAAATCGATGAAGAAGAATTTTTTCTGGCCTTCCCGCTTGGTTTATCGACACCGCTAACCGTATTAATTTTCACTGAAGAACTTGAACGCACCACTTAACATACGAATCGTCGCCGGTTGGCGAGAGATATCATCGACGGGAATTCCTTTATGCATAATATGTACCATACAGAGAGCTATTCCTCTCTCGAACGCAAATATCACGATGTTCTAATTACTTTTATCTCGGCTGCGACGACTGCTCCTTCCCAGAAAACTGTTGTATACATGTCTCGAAGATGGTTTTGTGGTTGATCGCGTCCCAGCGAATTCCAATAATCTTATGAAAATGCACAACGAGTGAACTTGTTGCTTCCTCTTTCTTCCTTTTTTCAATCTCATCAGTGTTAAGTATAAGTAATATTTCCTAAATTATTAACACAATTAGTTATAAAGTTATACAATCTGGTCAGATATTTATAATTATCCTATAATAATGTATACAAATGTATAATTAATATATATATATGTAGAAGAATATAATATATATATGTATAAATTTAGTCGAAAAGGAACGTTGTATTCTATAGAAATGGCTACTGATTATGAGGACTACAAATATTAACTGCGTTGAACATAAATTCTGGTACGATGAAACGCAATTAATTTGATAAATAGCTTTGTTTAATGATTTTAAGGTAGTGTACGAATATCCAAATATTTGTACGATAATTTATACTATTATTCGCTTGTATATATGATATGCGTACAAGAATCCAAACTGGCACTTCGACTGCTTTAATTAAATTTATCTTCGCAAATGCAACAAAAATAGCTAGAAAGATAAAATGTTAATGAAAGAAAACATGTAGAACGAACGTAAAAGAAGAATAAATACATTTCTTCTCGCAAAAGAATAATAAATCATCAACGATGTTTTACAAATTTAATATCACCTCATCAACGAAAAATTGGAAAAACCATCAGATCTAACAGATAACGTATTATATTTTGCGCTAGCGAAACATCTCCTGGCATTTACACTGAGCAATTACGGATTTTATTTTGATTAATACGAATTCCTAGAAAAACTGCTTTCCCGATATTGGATTGCCCGGAACAATAAAAAATCCTACGGAAAAAAGGAGCGAGATATTATTCTTTCATTGAATAACCACGCTCAAAGCGGAAACGGGGAACGACTTCGTTGAACCTGCCTTTCATTCATATAATAAAATACGGCTAAAACTGATTAATCAAAATGTCTCTCAAAAATTCATATCAGCGCCCGTATGCAAATGCGTGGCAATCCGAATTGACATTACACGCTATAATTTACGAGTTTGAGGGCTCTCTTCGTAACTTGAAATATAATTGGTCGCGGTAACGAAATAACGTGCATGTCAGTGCAGAGAAGACGAGACTCCAGAGACAAACGTTTCAGTGGAATTCCTACGGACGATAAATTCGCCATTGTGGAACGAGACTTCGGCCTCTGTAAACGTTAATGATGCATTGACTCAGGCTCGTGGATCGATATTAAGATGATTCACGCTGTTCTAACGGTTAGCCGTGTTGAATAACGAGGACTATATCGATGAGAAAGCGAACATGGTGCCAAGCGATCGATGTTTCTACGTGACTTGAACAGTCCCTTCTCGAAATCGAGTTAGTATTACCACGATCGATGCGACGTTTAATACGATTAATAATCGTACGCCGCGACGGTTCAACGACCCGAAGTCATTCGTTTCGTCAATTAGTAACGATTAGTGGCTCGTTTGACCACAGATGGAGAACTCACCGGAGAAAGTATTTGTGAGTCTTCGTTAGTCGCTCACCCTTCGGAGCATCCCCGGTAATACCTTGAAGCGACTCAATCGGCTTCCCTCGCAAAGATTATTTACTCGTTAGGAAATTAGTTGCTTTATTATCGAGCGGTATCGACTGATTCTATCTACGGCATCGCTCGCAATTTCGCTACGTCGCGTCGTAACCGATCGCCAGCTATTACGCGCCCTGCTGTAGCTTTCATCGTAGCTTTTTATCCCCTCTCCCGTACAGTTCACCGTGACGAAGTAAAAGCCGGTGAAGCAACCCGTTCGAAAACTAATTTTTACCTCGTATCGGCTGGTTGCCATTAAATTACCGATCCGATCGATCCCCCTTGGTGCGGCCAACGAACGAGCAGAAACATTGCACCGAAAGGAAAAACCGGCACTTTCGGGTTAATGCGATAGCCGTACGTTTCCACGGAAGCTTTTGCTGAAATTTCATTTCCACCGGTATCGTTTAGTAAACACATTAGATCTGATTTAACCGGCTATTTGGTCAAAAAATATTTCTCCGCGTCGGTACACGCCCACGAATTCTCGCTATCCCGAGGAAGCTGTTCGCTTTATGGAGGAACGTTTCATTTTTGACGCGGAGAAATTGTCACGGGCCTGAACGAACGGGAATGAAATCAAACGTGAGACGAATATCGTCGAGTCGCGTTCGTTTCGGCTAAATTTTAAGAATTTTTCCTTCGATGTATCTACACCTTCGTGCATGATGGGTACGACGACGACCAGGGACGAACAAAGTTCCTTGATCGTCGCACATAACGAAACAAGCTTCTTTTCCATCCGCCTGGCGTTCCTCGTATACACTAGGTACACTCACTTTCCAAGAGTGAAGAAACGACGAGACAGGAAAAGAACAGAAAGACTGAAAAAAGAAAGAAAGAATGCCGCTTCATCCAGTGCAGCCGAGCGGAAAATAGCTAATATTCTAAGACATGGGCGACATCGTGCTGAAGATGAGCTTTGGCTGGTAGTCTGTGTATTTTGGAGAACAACCACCCCTTCCGAACTATTTATTCCGGCAGAGGACGAAATTCGCCAGCAATGAAAGGCAACTCTGCCACGCTCTGTACGTTTTTAATTTTAACGTTATCATTTGATTCCACGAATATTCAAAAAGCTTTGCATCGACGAATTTGTTCAAAATGTATATTAAATATTTATATAACACCCACAGCATACGTACGATATCTTTCTGCAAACATAATTCGCAAATATTTCAAAATTGTATAATAGACGTTACATCATTCGATTAACGGAACATAAAAAACATGAAAGAATACTGACAAGATTTACGAAAGATGAAATCATATGGAACGGTACAATACAATAATCTCGATTCTAAAATAAATACGTATAGTTTCATGTATAACGCAATGAAAACATATTATTTATCAATTTGAAGCAAATTGAAATATTCGTTATATCGTTTATAAAGTTTAATCGGGATTTTGCAGGGATACAATTGGAACAATTGTAATATGAAATATGTTATATAAAATACACGATAAATTGGGTTGAACGTAAAAGAATTCTTTTTAATATAGGATACATTATACGATTTTGATCATCGGCGAATATTTAAAATAATCTTTATCGCACATTTAAAAATAAATATAACAACAGAATCCTTCCATTTTCACAATCCATTCCAATTAATCATGGCACAAATGCATAAACGTCTATAAAAAATATTATATTTCATGCCCAATTACCTAAAGCCAACATGTCCTCGGATTCGATGTGTTGGAAATCGATCTGCGCCAATGAATACGATAAGCACATTAAACACTGTTATCTTGCCAGAGATGCAAGTTTCAGGAAGCCATAATTTACACCCTTGCTATTATATTCTGTGTAGTAAGGTGTTTTTGCAACTGTGAAACGGAGTATATAATCGGCTAACTGGTTCGTAACCATCAGTAGCCGAGACCTGGTGTAACATGAAGGTGTCAACGATACTACTAGTGTCTTTTGCGTCGTGGGTAGTGGCCCATCCAGGTCTTCTGCACTCGGAAAAAGTCGACAACAATTCGGTATGTAATACGGTTAAAATATTTTATAGTGTTTTACTAAATTCTATATAAATTATACTTATGTTAATTTTACCAATTAGATAAATTTTTATCCATCCAGGAAGAAGAAAGAGCGGAGAAGCAAGAGAAGCTAAATGTATTAATTGAAAATTTAATATCATTGAAAGATAAATTTACACCATTGAAACTGTTTGAAAATGGAAAGTTAGGGGAACCGGGGGCATTTAATATAGCGCAGCAGAGTATCGGTAATGTGGTAACAGATCAAACGAGATTTTAGAAAAATTGATAATATTTGTGTTGTTTAATTACGCAGAGAAATATGGAATTCCTACGTCACCGATAGCGTTCTTACTTGGTAAGGACAATTTCATCATTTCGACGATTTTGAACGCGATTGGAACAGCCAAACAAGTGATTGGAGCAGCCAAAGAAGTGATTGAAACGATCAAAAGCAATATTAAGAAAGGTGATTCGATTCGTGTATAAAAACACAAACATTTAAGCGCAAAGTATTTCTTTGCAAAGTACACGTAAACTTCGATATTTGAAAACAAATAAAACGCATCTGTAACGCGAACAAACAATTAATTCGCGATCAAATGCGGCGGAAAAAAGCAAATTCGACAAAAATACGGGAACAGTACAACGGTAAAATTATTGAAAATGCAATTTATATTTTTCAGTGGTAAAGTTGCCTTTCCTCGTGCGTGAAGAAAAGACATCAGGTAATGTAGAACGCCTACGCCCAACGTTACATTGAAAAAGTTTACTTTTAAAGGAGCAGATAAATAAAGAAACAACTACATATTACTTTTTAAAGGAGCCAGTCTGGGCTTCGAGAAAACTGATTTTGCTCAGTTGAAAGAGCATGAATCAAGTGATAAAGACGATTCTCGACTATCGACAGGAATTGAAGGAATCGATATGAACGAGGTGAAAGAAGGTTACAGCAATGGTTATCGGAAATCAACAGAAGGTGACGCAAAAGAAATTGTCAGCGAAAAACACGTTATTCACTCTGCTGATTCTCCGGTATCGTCGAAAGGGAATGCAAAAACAGATATCAGCGAGAGGAAACACTTGGAAGGGTCTCAGATATCAACGAAACTGGAAGAAAAATCAGCTAGCACAAAAAAGCAGAGTCATTCGGTCGAAAAAGCTGAGAAAAAGTCGTTAACTAGCGCGAAAGAAGAGACTTCTCAAGGTCCGATGAATGTTATGGAAAAAGTAGCTGTCGACGAGGAAAAAAGACAATTCGAAGAAGAGTAGAAGAAGCGTAGTAGCATATTGACCATCGATCGATCAAACAGAGGAGTAAATGCATTAAATAAGAATATAGAACAATAAAGGAGAACTTAATTTAAAAGGGAAAAAACACGATTGTTCGTTTTTGTCAAAGTTAAGAACAAATTTTCCAGAAATTAACAAGAAAAGAAAGATAACCGGATAATAAAAATTGATTAAGAAACGTCTATCGTTGAAAGAGAAAGTAAAAATACTTCACATTTATCTGGAAAAATTGTTAAAAATTTCAAGAAAATACATAGAAAACGCTGACACAATGACATCTGTCGAAAGTAATATAATCACGCACAGAATGCTCGACCATGAAAGGATGAACTTCATCGAGTGAGAAAATTGATGAAAAATTATCCGCTGTCATGTAACGATCGATCTGCTGGAAAAACAACTACGATCAGAAAAAAGCGACAATCTTTACAGACTATTTCAAGACATCAACAGAAATTGATGAATAAGCAGTAATCGAGGAGGAAAAAGATGGTTGCTAGCGGAATTTTATATCATCAACTGGAATTTCTAAGCAAGAAAACTAGAAAAAGACGGTCACTGGAGTACCTCTAGTGAATCGACCAAACGTGTCATGCAAAACATAACTTTCAGAAGAAAATAGTTTTAAAGTATCAATCGATGTCGTCGGAGATGGAACCGAGAGCATGGAAGAAAACGAACGCGTCAGGATTTCTTGCGTATTAGCTAGAATTGATGAGTAAGCGATTGTGGACAGCATTGATGTCGTGATAGAACGATTGTGAAGGACTTTAAAGAATAAACGTCAAGTGCATAAGGAGGAATACTAACTAAGGCTATTCAGAAGAATGAATAATTATAAAATCATTTGCAAATATCAAAATGTCATATGTTTGAAATATTAACAAATGCATCTGTAACCGCCATTGTATAAAATAGTGAATAGTATAGTTAATATTGTATGAGCTAATGGACAAATTATTTCAAACGTTATGGTCACAACTTGTAATTTACAGGTATATGTATTAGTGGGCTGGAAAGCTTAATTATTTAATTATTTAATCTACGTTACATATATGGGTGTTTCTTTATTTTTGTGTATCTTAAAGGTAATACATATCTTGTGCACACATTACCTGCTTGTATTTAATTCGTTTATTCACCTTGTTTTGTTAACTTAACGCTAGTTATTAATGTGAATATCTAATATTAGTTTACCGCGAAAGTTACATACTGTATAATTTATATGATAATTAAATATAATCCAGTAGAGATAATGGTTTCTGTATTTCGACAAAAGGGAATATATTTAGATTCGATATATTTTCAATGATCGAAAATTTCTAAACTCGCCAGCCTATATAGAAAAACAGCACGACAATAATTAACTGTAAGCTTCACTTTGGCTACTTTCTTCGTATTTATCGAGTTGCATTTGTGTGATATCGCAAGTGTGACAATGCGACTGTTACTAGCTGCAATTGCGGATGATCTATATCGAATGTGAACGTTACGCAGCATGTAGGAAGTTCTACGGCCACGACCAATTACGCGTCTCCGGATATAAATCATCGGAAATATGAAGCCTACTGACGCAACCCGTCCATTGATACATTGTTACCATTGTGAGAAAGTAGCGGTGCATCTTTAAAAATATACGCCTTTAAAATGTCAACTCGTACTACGAAACGCATTGCACAATATTCAGAATCCTTTCTCTCGATTCTAACGGAAGAAAGTTTTCCTTCTGTCAGAGTTTCGTAAAGAAAACGATACATCTAATCGTTTTACGAATTCAAATTTGAAACGAAAATATCTTTCAACTAACATATAATGTAACGTTTGAAATGTTTCATGGTGTCGTGTTCCAATTCTAACATTTCAAAACATTAGATTTATTAATCACATACTGACCTTTCAAAGACTACAGCAGACAATAGTATGTACTAACGCTAGAATGCTAGAACTCTTTCGTTCGAACATACTTCCTGTTGACCGACGGATACAATGTAATATACAATTTATTTCAAAAAAGGGTTACGAACATCTACGAAAATGACATTAACTGGTTTATCCAAGTTTAACATAGGTCAGATAGAAAGTCGCTTACAATAGACATAGTAATTTCTTGAAACGTTAATCTCGTTCAAAGCTTCGGCAGAATCGGAACAATAATCTACCAGGAAACCTAAGTCGACTGGAACCTTCTACTAACTAGGAGAGTGCAAGCTTTTCGCGTCACCGACTTCATTGGAAGTTTGCGCGCTAGTAAATTCTATTTTTACAGAGATTACTACAGACTACATTCTAGGATTAAGTATACGACATTTTATGAAACATTTGTTACTGAAGTTTTTCTGAATTAAAGTACAATTAAATTATAATTTTAACAAGAAAATAAAACTAATACATTAAAAACTCATTCGCATATACTATATCAAATCGTTAAAAATATTTCAAGCTTCTATCTAACTTATAGAGAAAACGGCACAGCAGGCGATGCTGTTCAACAGGAACGCAAAACAGACAGTTTATAGGCGTTCGATTTTCTGGAGGTTAATAGGCGATCGATAGTCAGTAACTAGCAGCGACGCAACGCCAGTGGCGTTTTTCCCGCGTTTATCTGGTGTCGATTGGTTTAAATCGCGATCCATCTCGCGGTGGGCCGCTGTTAACGCTCGGCCCGGCGTGAATCGCGCGCTCCGCTGGCGGCCCGCAAATTACAGACTTCGTTAGAATCCCCGTTATCTCGATACCTCATCTCTTCCCCGGGAATTATAAAAACAATTCAGATTTATACCTTACGGCTTATCACGCGGGAGAAAGTTATCTACGTGCGCGGGCCTGGTTAGTATGTTGCGCAGACAGCGACTGATAAATCTCCACGAGGGAAAGGTTTTGTTTCCAGTAAAGATTACAGCCGTTCGATAAAAAGTCATTGTACTTGGTCAGGCAGAGAGCAAGAGAAACTCGGAAGGAAAGAAGGAGACGCAACATGTTCGCAACAAGAATTAGAGTAATTTAAGTAAAGATGGATCAGAAGAAACAGGCCAATTAAATTCGTATTTCTCAATCTATTTGTCAGATACGTAATTCGTTGATACTGGCTGTTATAGTAATTGCAATCGACCTTGTAACAATAATGAACCGCATGTAATAAAAATTGAGGTAGACTTTGACATCTTACATGCATTACTAACTTGCATTAATTTTATCAACAAACTGGTAAATACAATGCTTAGTACTTTCAAAATATTTCAGTTCGAAACGTGTTTTAAAAATGAAGTCCACCACCTTCTTGTTCTGTCCTAAGATGTAACCGTTGAAAAATGATCGAAATATTTGTCAAATTGTTAGGTCGCGGTAAACCTCGATTTCCAATCGACCGTTCATCAAACACACTGTGTGTGGGGAACGTGCGAAGGAATGTATGTATCCTGGCGCCCTTCGCACGGCAGCAAATTTCGCCAGGCTCTCCGTCTTGGAAAGCCATTCTGCCTTCAGGAGAGGATACGGGCGCGCGAGATGGGACGCGTACATTCGAATTAATAAACCTTTCATAACGAGGCAAACGTTACCGTATAACTAGCTGTGCGTACACGGGACCCTGTCGTGGTCGTAAAAATACAACCGTGTACGAAATTTACGCGCGTCGTGCCGCATAAACTGGCGGTGGCCGCGTGCCTTCCCCTTCGTGAATCGGGACCAGCGCAAGTACAAGGTGGTGCGACAAAGATATGCTTCCTCGTTACCAAATGGAGATCGAAGCTCTGCTCTCTATGCCCCCACGTGCTCGCGAATCGAGAATCGTAGTCGGCCCATGCACGAGATTTATACCGGTGCACACGCATTATGGCGTTGTTAATATGCAAGCCAGCGAGCTGAGTGTACGTGTGTATGGCGCGCGAAATGGAGAAGGTAGAGTGCGAGCAGCACACGAGTCAGCGACCAGAAAGAGAAGAAAGAGGGAGAGAAAAGACACAGCTGAGCCCGCGTACTTTAGTAATTTATTTAGCTGCCGTGCCGTAATCCGAGATATTCATCCGGGTAATGGGTAATCGTAGACGCACTCGCAACCGTGCCTTGGAATCGCGGTAATTATAACTGTATACACCGACACATCGCTGATACACTCGCGTACGGGTAGCGGCTACGAGAACACGCGAATGCACCACGCTCGATCTTGCACCACAAATCCAACGATTCTGTCTTTTCTATTGCTCGACGTCTGTTTAACGATGTCTGTTTAACGATCGGTTGAGCCGCAATTTTGCATTCTCGGCTAGCGTGCACTCTTAACGTGGATACTTTTAACCGTTCTATTGTCAGATATAGAGTGTTTGGAAAGTTCAAAAGTTCAAGTAATTTGTAAGGGTGTTTTATATTTTGAAGTAGGATGTCAATTGAATTTATAAGGGCGTTCTAATGGATATGAGTTGAGCAATCTTGTGTTTTATTTGAAAGATTCGTGCGCAAAGAAGAAGGACAGAGAATGAGAACAACTAAGTGGTATGAAATCTGACCTTATGAATTTAGAATTTTAAATTAGCCCGAGTTAGGGTTAATCTAATGCTAATATCGAACAAAATAGCTCGGTAAACTGTATTAGTTATATCAAACAGGACTTAATGGCAGGTGATTTCATAGAAGACATTTATAGCAGTCTCTCCTGGAAGCCACACGTGCGTTGTTATACATAATACTGTATACATATGTGAACCGTCACATGCATTCTAACACGCCCGCCTGATTCCAATTGAGTTGCGCGCATTGATCACGCATTTTTGCAATTCCTGTAATGTTCATATCACGCCAAAAATCAATATCACGATATCTCTGCCATTTTATCTGCTTCTAGCTGTATAATATGTCTGCAAATTATTCAACAGCTCTTTCGAAACATTTCGTACAGTAAACTTACCAATCGGAGGATGAGGTTCATGAGATGAATAAAAGTCGAAGACGATCGTTTCTAGATACTTGTAAGAAATTAATGTTCATTGTTTTGTTGTTTGACGAAGG